CGCGCTAACCCAATAACACAGACAACTTTGTTCAACCAGTCCTCATTGTTTCGTGATTTGGTGGACTCTTAAATCAGCCTTTCTTCCTCCAGGAACAGGAAAGAACAATTTCTCTTAAAGCAATTGAAGGCTGTGGAGCTAAATACAGAATGCCTTCAAGAGGAAGATGGGCAGAGTCCTTAGAACGAAGAAATAGACCTTTCTAAGGCATTGGATTTGTTACTAGGCAACAAATAAAATATGATTAGAATGGCCCAAATACAGCTTCCGGCGAGAAAAAAAGCCTGCTTAAAAATGCCTTTCAAAACCCTAACCTTTGGACTATTTTGGTGCTTTGTTTTTCCTATATCTTTTAATGTATACATACATGTATGTGTGGATGGATGTGTATTATACATTATTCCTTGGCATTTCCAAAACAAGTATAATTTGGTGATTCTATGAAAAACCTAATACTAATCATTATTTTATAAAACACTATTAGCATTAAAAGTTCATCCTCTTTGCATTATGATAAAAAGGACATGAAGGCTAAAATCCCAAGCACTGACAACACGCACTGCTGAGAATGTAAAACAGGAGCTCATTCCCAGCTGGTGAGGATGCAGAATGGCAGAGCAACCATGGAAGGCAGTTTAAAAGGAAGATTTTTGAAAAACTGAAAGTTCTTTAACCATACAACCCAGCAACTGGACTCCTGGTTATTACTCAAATGAAGTGAAAGCTTATGGCCACAGAAAACACTGCACGTGAAGTTCACAGAAGCTATATTCATATGACCAAAATGAGAGGCAAACAAGATATTCATTGATAGGTAAATAGATAAACAGACCGTTTTTGTATAACTATGCAATGGAATATTACTTAGCAGTGAAAAAAAGAATTCCCAAGGTCTAAAAAGACACAGAGCAACGTTAACTGTATATTGCTAAGTGAAAATACGAATTCTGAAAAGGTAACAAACTCTATGGTCCCATTTATATGACATCCTGGAACAGGCAAAGCTGTAGAGACAGTGAGAAAAATCTGTGGTTGTCAAGGACGGGGGCAGGGAAGGAAAGAGTGGATGAAAAAAGTACAGGGGAGTTCTAGGCCAGTGAAACCATTCTGTGTGATTATGTCATGGCGGGTATATGATTTCAGATATGTTTCAAATTATCCATGACTACAAAATACAAGGAGTGAACCTAATATAAACGACAGACTGTAAGTAATAAGCTGCGTTACCCTAGTTCAGAGTGGTAATTCGTGCACCGCTGGTGCAGGGTGTCACTGCAGGGAAAGCTGCACTGCAGGGCAGTGGGAGGTAGGGCTCCTCTTGGCTCCCTGTTTGATTTCTCTGTAAATCTAAAGCTCTTCTAAAAAGAAAGTTTGTGCCCTTAAGAAAAATCCAGAAGCATGATAGGTGATATTAGTGCTGGCACTCAAAGCAGTTTTTCTAATTTGCAACATATTGACAAAGCAGTTGTTAGACTGAACCTGGCATCCACACAGGTGTCACTCCTTATCACGGGGTGTGAAGGTCTTTACCTGTCTAGCTATGTATCAAAACACACTTAGCGTCCTGTCCCACAGAACTTAATTACGATGCTACCTGCAGGACCTTTCCTATTCTTTTTCCAAATGAAACACTCCACTGCATTAGCACATTTCTCATTTTTATGGCATTTCAGTATAATTTTAATTTTAAAAAACTTTCATAAATATATTGCCTGTCATTTACTGTTTTGTTTGTTTGTTTTTGGTACAGGGGATTGAACTCAGGACCTTGCAATTGCAAGGCAGGTGGTGGAACCACTGAGCTAAATCCCCAGCCCTGCCTGTCATTTATTATGTAACTGAATATAGAATTTGTCATCTTAGTTTCTGAAATAATCACATTTAGTTATTGAATGTATTCTGTGGCATTTTTCATACTTCAGTGTGTGTAGGAGTCAACTGGGATCATTTTGAATTCAATTTCTAACTCTCTTGATGTGAGGTGATGCTTGATAATGTGTACTTCTAAACAGCTTTGAGGTGACACCGCTGTATGACCACTCCTTGAGCAGCCAAGGTTCCAGAGAACATTTGGGACACAAAATCGTCATCTGCATGAAAAAAACCCTAAATATCCAGCAACCCTTAAGAAGGATAAGAGAGCTGTTTTCCTGTTTCTCCTGCCTGAAGAAGCTTCCAGGATAATAGCGCTTTGAAATCTGCTTTCCCCAAATATAATCCTTTACAATTTCATCTGTAAAGAGGAAGGTTTGGTAACCTTTGGACAGTGAGTAAGCTGCCTATTCAGTGATAATGCTCTCCTGACATATGCACCAAAGATCCGGTTCATTTCTAGTCTAGGTCCTCAATTTATAAGTCTTCAATTGCAGAAAGGTCAAGTGACTGACTCAAGGTCATTTACCCATTACTGTAAAGGTCCGGTCTCAAATCCAGATTTCTTACTCCAAATCCACTCTTTGACCTCAGTTCTCTCTTGCTACTAATAATGCTGTACTCCAGAGAACAGCAACCAGTAGTCCAGGACACAGAATCTGAGCTTTGGGTTGAATCTCTTACTCAGGATTGCCATTGTAATTGTTAAGGCTTAAGGCATTGTGGTTGGATAGGTGAATTAAGACGGAGGAGATTCTGTGGATCAAAACAAGCCTTGAAATTCAGCAAAACTGTGTGAACTTATGAGTTTATCCTGATATGACGTAAGAGTATGAGCAATAACACTTGGATGTTCCACCATGGAAAATGGGAAAAAGAATCATTTGTTCCTAATCCCTAACCCTGATGGTCCTCTTGAAAGAATTCCAGGACAACCACATGTGGAGTCCGAAGCAGGTGGACACTGCCCTGCAACAACTTTACAGGGGAGCCTCACATGCACTGGATCAATGAAAACTTGACATTTTCAGTGGGACTTCTAATCATTAAAGACAACTGCCCTTCACATTAGAAAAAAAATGCCTACAAATATACAAAGGATTTTGTGTCATTATATAGATGTTATTCTTTGGAACTCTATTTTGGATCTGTAGCTTAAGGGCAGGCCCCCACTTCAGGAGTAGCCCAGGGTGGGAGGGCTAGTTTATGTGTAATATTTAACACTGAGGAGCCTATGCCTTCCTTCCATACATTGTCCTTCTGTACCCTCTAAGGGTTTCTTTTAACCTGAGCACTCTGCTGGTACACACTCCCAGTCGCTCCCACTTGGAGCCCTGCACTACAGGAAAGAGGAAGCTAAGCTGAATTCACCTTGGGCACAACGCCTGTCTCTGAGCACTGCACAACAGCTCATCATGAAACTCTACTCCTTCTTTCAGAGGCATTGTGTGTGTGTGTGTGTGTGTGTGTGTGTGTGTGTGTGTGTGCATGTGTGGCTGTGTACAAGCAGCTCAGAAATGACTTGTGCCGGTTGCTGGACTTCCTCCCCCTGGGTGCTGCCTCTGCACCCTTATCCCAGGCCTCCAGGAGGAAGCAGGGCTGGAGATACTCTTTGCAAAGGGAGACGTACTGGCTCGGCGCTGGGCTTCGGGTCTTCCCAGGGCCGCTCTGAGGTGCTCAGGAGCAAGGGCTGAGCAGTGATGAAGAATCCGCCCTGGTCCCTCTGGACCAGGCCTAGAGAAACCAGTGGTCTCTCTGTTGCTTGGTGATCTGAGCCCTTAGGGACAACCCCAAGCAGTTTAGGTATCGAGCGCAGGGGCGCAGGCTCGAGGCTTTCCCAGGGACTCTCTGTGCTCTCCCTGAACACAGCTGCTGCTGTGACAGCCTGGGCGCCCAGGACACTGACACTGACTCCAGGGACAGAGCCAGTCTTGCCTGCCGCTGTCTGAGGGTTCACTGTGGTACTGGTCTCACGTGTTTCCTCCCCAGTCTTCCTACCACACACTGTTTCCCCTCTGATCAACTTTCTATCCTTCCTGCAGCACCCAGCAACCTCGACAAGGACCTTTCTGAGACCTCAGCCTCCATAGCGGCCTCCCAGCCTGCTGGGTCCCACCCCACCTGTCATGGTTTGGTCCCGGAATGGCCCCTAGACATCCAAGGCTGGAGGCTGATCCCCCAGGCAGCTATGTTCAGAGACAGGGAGGGGACTGGATCCAGAAGGCTCCACCTCCTCAGTGGAGGAAGGCACTGGCGGATCCACAGCTCACTGGGCTCCTGGGAAGGGGAGCCTAGATGGAGGGGTAACCCTTGGGTGTGCCTTGGAAGAGCATATTTTGTCCCCTGCCCATTTCTCTCTTTCTCCCACCCTTCCCTGGCTCCTCTGCCAAATCCTTCCACCATGACGTTCTGCCTCCCCACAGGCCAGAGGGACAGGGCCAAGTAACCATGAGCTGGTGTCCTGAGCCAAATGAATCATTCCTCCTTTGAGCTGTTTATCTTAGGGATTTTGTCACGGTGAAGAAAAGCTGACTAACACACCACATGTGTGATCTATATACTCATCCGGGCTTCTGTGAAAAACCTATCACAACAGGATTTATTTATTTAGCTTTTAAAAATAAACAGGAACAGGGATACCAGAGAGAAGTACAGATGACAGGCTTGCTGAACTTTCAGATATTCACATTAAAATGCCAACAAATAAGGAGGAGGAAACTGGCTCCTAGAGATGAAGTGTGGATAATATTCTTTTTTAGGGGTATCATCTCTGAAACTAATCACCAGAATACTTCCTGGGAAGCTTGGAGAATGTAGCTCTAGGAAGAATAGAAAAGAGACAAATCCAATTTAACATGAAGAGCAATATTTTGCAAATAGAGCTGAGTATTACAGAAAAAGGCTAAGTGGTAGATTAGGGGCTCGGCATGGCACTGGGAGGATTGAAACACAGTCTAAAATCCCTCAGTAAATGACATGGTGCATTCAGTGGGAGAGGAGCTGCATTCATCAAATGCCAGGGCTCCTTGCTGCTGAAAGATTCCAGGATTCTACTACACACTGGAATGATAATGACAAGCGCACTTCAGACCCGTAACTGTAAGAGCACGATGGTAGGAAGAACTTACTGTGCTGACAGTGAATCCCGTTGAATCCTCGGGGACACTTACAAACGTAGCCTATGAAGGTGTCCCCTCGGTAAGCTTCGCTGATCTCACAGGTTCCCCCATTATGGCATGGGTTAGGGACGCAGGGACCTGAAAGACAGAGGAAAAATATTGCTGTGTGACACAATACTTACAAGTGGATACTAGGTCAACACCCTGTAATCAACAATTGTGTAGGAAAAGCACTGTGGATATTAATTGGACAAGGAATGTCCTGGCTGGACTGGCTCTGAAAACCAAGGGCCTAGCTTTGAATCTTGGTTTCTGTACTTTCTGAGTGACATGATCCTGGGTACTTAATGAATTTATTGACTTAATAGTTTACCCTTTGGTTCAATATGAAAAGAGTGCACTTCAAAGGGCCACGTTATAGATGCAAAGGTGTGGCTCTATGTCTTTTATAAATACATATAAATATATATGCATGTCTTTAATAATTCCATATTAGCTGCTCTTGCTACAAGACAAATAACATTTTAAAGTAATAACTATCCATGTATAGGACTGTATAGAAGCACTCGAGGTACTCAGTTAATCTTTATTATTAAAGGTTTGGAATTATCAAGTATCTTCTGCATGTTTAAAAATTAATACTACCGACAAACTTCTGAGGCCATGAACACTGAAATGCTTTTTCCCCTCCAGGTGTCAGTTGCCTCGGACTGTGACCAGAGTCGAAACAAAGCAGATAGCAGTAATTTCACAGATTCTTTACAAACTGCAGGTAGAGCATTCCTCGGAAGAAGCACAATTTTTTGCCAACCTAAAAGCAACAGGTCATCAAAAGCTGCCCGTTTGGAGGAGAGGGGCTGAGTCGCTTCTCTGTTTTGAGAAAGTAAACTGAACAGAATGACTGGGACCGGGCCACCAACAGGCTGCGTGCGCTGATCTCCGCTGCGGTTCGCTGACTGCATCGGGCTGCTGGAGGGCAGGACCTGCTACTGCAGTGCCCATCCCAGAACGGGGTCCCCAGGCGGGGACCCAGCCGCTGATGGGGAGTCCAACCGGACCACTGACCTGACGGCAAGCCCCGAACGTACCCCGAATCCTTGATTGCCCCTTGTGTGGTGGAGGTCTTCCTGAAAGCCCTGAGCTTTCTCTATGCGACGGTCTTTCCTACTTTTTCTCCCTTCAAGCTTGTGTTACAATTCAGCTGCTTATTCTACCCACGGTTGCGCTCCCTTCCCTTTGCTCGGGGACATTCCTCTGATAATTTTTTTTCTCAGGTCTTATTCTGCACCTTATCCTGCTTGCGGGAGGATGACCACTGAATCGGACAGAATTTATCCTGGAGACAGCAAAGAGGAAAGAATCCAGTTCAGGAACCAACAGTTCTCCTCAGGAGTGAGACAGGGCAACCAAAAAGAAAATCAGGTTTTTTTTTTAAACTGCATTGACGAGAACACATTTATAGGTGGGAAAAGAGCCCTGAGGAAGTTAAAATGTGCATTATTAGACAAGAAAAATAAAATGAATACAACTAAGTGTCCGGCTGTCTTTGATGAACGAATTCCAGAGTTGGGGAGGAAGATCAGTTAAGAAGAGTACCGGATTCCTGCTAGGCCAAAGAGGAAGGAGAACATTGGAAAGGAGATGGAGGGGACCAGGGCAAGTGCGAGGTGAGGCGGCTGGTGGAGCGGGGTGAACGGCTGCCTGCGTGTGGTCAAGGCCACGCACAGGGCCGGTGTGGGGAAGAGACCCGCCTGCAGCACAGAAAGGACCAGGCCTCAGCCGCAGGCAGGAGGCTCAGGGGCTGGGCAGCTGTCCAGTCGGAGAGTTTATGATTGGGCTCCTTCCCCAGCAACTGGGCAGGTGAAAGTGCCTTTGGTGGTCCATCTCAGTTTAAAATTGGACAAAATTCAATGGCTGCAGAGTCTAATAAAACTGTAGATGGAACAAGAACCAACATGGCGCCTGCACTGGGCGGATTGGCTGCTAAGTGAAAAGGACGCAGGAAGTCGAAGTCGTGCTCCCACCTGAGCCATCTGCACATGGATTAGAAAGAACACGTCTAGAGAGTAGTGTCGACAAGAGTTAGGATTAATAAAACTGTATTGCGTTAGGAATTTTAAAAATAAATACATATTAGCAGCTCTTGCTGGAAGAACAATAACTATGTGGAAATAATAGATAATCTATCTCATTGTGGTAATTCCTCAAAATCCATGTCAATAAACATCATGTTGAAAACCTCAAAAATACACAATAAAATTTATATTAAAATCAGTATGCTTACTTAAGTAGTGCTTTTGTGCCATGCAGTTCATATCAATTAAATTATCTAATACCTGCCCTTGGGGTGATCCATTACCAATATTTGAGACAGGGGAGAAAGTTCAAGATGAACGACCAGTTTAGGAGCCATTCAAATCCCTTTCTTCCATTGCTAAAGATGAAAATCATACTACAGAACCCAGACCTCTTTACCATTTTTCTTAATTTCCACTTTTCTCCTAATAAATTAGATAATATTTGGTAGTGTCTTACAATTTACAAAATCATTTTGCAAAAATAATGCCAGTTATTCCCAAGAGCCATTCTGTGAGGTTGTCATTATTTTAATTCTCTTTTACAGTTTTAAAAGTATTGGAAGTTTAGAGAATAGTTTTCAAATCAGTGTTTCCCAGTGACACATTTAAGCCTCAAAGTAAGAATCAGTGGTTCTAGAAGGAAAGAATGAAATTAAATTGATGTTAGATTTTAACTCATCAGTTCATTTCAAAGTAAGAAAGGATCACTTATATATTTTATGAATTGATAACTGATAGTCATACATACCAATTTTAAAGATAAAAATTAATATGCATTGATTTAAAGAATTATGTACTTTGGAACAACTAAAGAACCCTGAAAATCAGCCAATCCAATCTTCCACTTTTGGAAATGAGAAAGCAAACCCTGGTAAGAATTCAGTGATATTTCTAAAAGTATCTCCTATTAAGAAAAGTGTGTTTAAGGAATTACACCTAGGAGAAAAATTAGTTATTAAAACCAGAAGTGGCCAAGCTACTCTTTCCCTCATAAGGGGGTTAGTAATTTAAACTGGAAAGCCAGGAAACCTTTTCCATGGCCCTTTCCTCTTAGAGAGCTCTGCGCCGTGGATGGAAAAGGCTGAAACAGTGAGAACTGCCAGTCCTTGGGAGGAGATGAAACAGCGAGTCCCAGGACAGGGGTCAGTGGAAGGCACCCTGCAGACAAGGAGTAAATACCAGCCCAGACGAGGAAGCTGAAATGATTTGCGCCTACGTGCCTACTATCCAGGGAAAAGTAGACTGGGCTGGCAGGTGAGCACGGAGCGGTTCAATGGACCTATGAAACAGAGGGAGGGAAAGGGATGAGGAAGATCAAGGGGGTGTGCTCTCAAGAGGAAAACTGGAAGTAAAGTCTTCAGGGACAGGGGTCAGTAAAGCAACCTACTGGACGGTGTAATGTGTGGGGTTAGTAGCCAGTAAGTGATGGTGATGGCTGAAATCCAAGTTTATGCTGAATGCGTAGCCACTGTGTGTGTTATCTTCACAGGAACATCTAGCCCTACACTTGAGTCTGCTGACCACACAAGCCCGTGAGCTGTATTTGGGGAAATCTGAGGGAAAGGGCCATGGTAGTCACCTGGCTCATCCGGGCGGAAGGGGAGGCTTGCTGAGCCGCAGGACATCTGAGAGTCCGGGGCTGCAGGAACCTGAAGAGAGCGTTGAGGGGTGTTTCCAGAGACACACTGGGCACTTCCTGAGGCGCAGGAGAAGCCTGTCCAGCAGCCTCGGTGCAGTCTCTGGGATCCCAAAAGGATGAGTCTACTATAATTTTATTATAACCTGGGGTGATGTCTGTGTTTTAGGAAAAAATTATCACAACAGAGTGTGGTTGTTGTTATTTCTCTTGCTCTAAGTAACCCAGTGATTTTCATTTAAAAGATGAGGATGAAGGAAAGCAAAGGACAAAGATTTCATCTTCCCAAGTCCCTTATCGGCTGAGCAACGGGAAGTATGCATATTTCACTCGTACTGCTTTCTGAGAAGATATCCTTCTTTATGAGGCAAGAAAAGATTCAGTGAGATATTTAACCACAAGTGCAAAGATTTTACTGTACTCAGTGGGACCACAGACTCCACACTCTTTTCTCCTCACCATCCCTGCTCCCATGCTGAGTATCTGGTTATTAATACGTTAGCTGTGGTAGATTTAAACAGAATCGGCATGAATTCACTAAGCAATCCTATGAACACTACTGCACTTCTCCAGTGAAAGCATTTCAGAATATCTGCAGGGACTGGGTCAGGGTGTACTAGACATTATAAATACAGACAGGCTCTGCTATACTAAGAAGGCACCACTCCATTTCAGCTGATTAAAATCAACCATCAAATATGGGCATTTCCCCAAAACCATTTATCAGTAATTATATGTGAGATTAATAAAATGCTATACATCTTGTACATGCTTTTTTGTAGCCCTCAAGACCGCTGAGATGAGGAGCTGGTTGTCACTTTTCCCCCACTAAACCATAAATTCCACTGGGGAGAGACCTGGTTTTCATACAGTAGTTGTATGATATATTTTAAATACACACGTGCATGACAATACTGAGTAGTCACAATTATATAGATTGCCTAAACCCTACTCTAATTTTAAATTTAAATTTAAATTTTAAATATCATTTGGCAGTTCAGGCAATAATTAATGCATACACTTTCTGTGACTTTTCTACACACCATTTAAATTTATAATTAGATTACAATATTTTTGTCCTAATGTGGTTTAAATTAGGACAAATTTAACCTGAATTGTAATAATAAGGTATTTGAATGTGTACTTTTGTGTAATGAGTATATGTTTCTTAATTGTTTGGCAAATATGGGACCAAGAAAACGTAACTTCATACAAGCTCAGTGTTTCAGTCTCCTAATTTAACAAGTCCTGCAAAGAGACATTCACTTTATGCAAGAGCAAAAGCAAACATCAGTAAAGTTAGCACAGAGACGTAACCTAACAAATGGCATGCAATGTCTCCACTCACAAGGCTTGCTAGATGGTCAAACACAGTTGTGTTTGATGTTCAACAGCAACAAATAAAACTCAGCAAGTTGCCATGT